AATATACAGGGCCCTTTACGAAGGAAATGAACTCCAAATAATAGGAGGCCAATGATAATAATAATGAACGATTATGGCAGAAACAAGTATACAGCATACCTGATATGGGTTGGCACTTCCTGTGAATTTTGTGTCAAAACTGTGAGGTCTCAACCCCTGGAACCTACGACAGTCTCCATGGAGCAAGTGACTGTACTAAATGGTAAATGTGGAGTGATAGAATTGATGTCAGATGAGTTATCGGTCTTCACTAAGATACCAATAAAAGCTGGTGCTGTTCTTGCCACCTCCTTTGGGAGCCTTAGGTACCTGCCTTTTAGAATTGGTTGTTCATAGAGGGCTGGTTGGCAGAATGTTAGGAAAAAGAATCTGGTATGTCTCATGCGTAGACACAATGGAACCAGAGAGCAACTTTGTACCCACTTCACAGTTCACAGTGAATACCATCAGGAGATACAGACTATGATTCGAAACTTCCTAAGTTTGTAAATTTTGCCAATTGATTGAGTATTATTTGCCCATGGGATACAAAGACGGAAAAGGAGGGAATAGAGCCACACAACACATCTCTACTGAGGCTTCTAGCATGGGGCAAAGATGGCGGCCAAACACTCATTTTGGAAACGAGGTCCGATAGACCTTGAACCTGGGTCATCGTTATGGCTGCCCCCAATAAGAGAGGCATCGGTCAGAGCACAAAGAGATCTCAGAGGCAAAACCAAGAGCAGCCCCAGGACCCTGCTGATCGCCACACACACCACTAATTCATCTCAATGGGCAGGCACCTCTGAGCTCAATTAACCCTTATTCCCAAGGCCACCCATAAACCCTGAGGTAAACACAGCTCTCCAGACCCTGGCTTTCTATCAATGAAATAGGTCATTTCTATTGGAGGCCGAGCTTGTAAATTCACCTTGCTGATCAAGAGCTCAGTGCTCTTGGTTGCAAGCAGGCAGGCCCCTGCATCATGTAGCATTGATTCTGTAAGCCAGACAGTTTTAAACTGCTGAGGGCATCTGTGATTTCTTCTGCCTTCTGAGGTGATTTGAAGAGAATATACATGTTCTGGAGGTGGAAGCGGCAATCAGAAATGTCCCCAGTGCAATTGTCTGCACACACATTATGTACTGGAAGCTGAATGGTTTCTCTCTTTCCTATCCTTTTTTTTTTTTTAAATTCTTCCTTTTCTTTTCCTTCCCACAGCAGCTATTGTTCAAAAGCAAATTGGAAATCTGGTAATTAGGCCCTGACTCACGGTGTAGTATTAAAGTCCTGAGCCAAAGTTCAACACCCTGAAATGAAATTTAAACCAATTAATCTGTTAGATTTTTATCGCTTGTCCGTGTTTTCTCAGCAATTCCCCCAGCACGTGGCCTTTGATCAACTCTCATACAAACGCTAAAATGTGTGCCTGCTGCTAGCAAGACGGAATGACATTAACATGGTCCTCATAAAACAATCAGAGCAGAGAGGCCCTCAAACAGGCAGGGCATAGTAATATTTAATAAAAGCGCACACATAATCTTCAGAATTAGCATTTTGTGCCTTGCAGTACCTTTGGGAGAAGAGCTTTTATTTGTGGAGTGATCATTATAACAAAGAGGCGCTACCTAATAATTCCCACTTTAATTCTGCAATGTGCCAGGAGCATTTCAGAACCATTATGCTAAACTGGTGGGGTAATCATGTTATTGTCACAGTTTGAAGGAAGGAAAATCTCGACTTTGGTGGCTGGTGAGGGGTGGGAGAGGCATTAAAGAAAAGAAGGGGGGAAAACTTTTATTTTTAATGAAATTTAGAACCCAGAAATAGGTCCTGTTGCCCTTGTGGACAGAGCGTGAAAATGTGCGGCTGGGAAGGAGTCTTTCATTAATTAAACCACGAATTTTCTTTCTTTCTTTCTTTCTTTCTTTTTTTTATAAAGCAGTCTTGCTTTCAAGTCTGATCCTTTACTTCCTATTTCATAATGGTTTTTTGGAGAAAGAATGCTATCGATTATCCCGGCTTGTTATTGACTCCTGTAAGTCTCCCCATTTGGAAATTCTACTGAATCTAGCTAGGGTGTATACTAAAGTAGTGAACTCGCGCTCTGCCTCTGTGAGTAGATGGTATCAAGGCAAGTGAGGCCATAGCTGCTCAGGGGTTCAGCCGGTATCCTTAGACAACTTGCTAGTGGGATGGAGGAGAGACCCAGGGTCTCTGAACAGCCCCAGCTGATGATAGGTGCTTGCCGGGTTCCTTTTAGTATTGATTTGCTCTAAAAAGTACAAATGTCATCATGTGTCCTGCTTCACTGAACTCTTTACTTATATATTACCATAATATATGCTCAGTGGAAAAGCCTCAAGCCAAATGAACATTAATAGAGTAAAAATTAGTAGCCTTCTTTTCCTGTCAGACCCAATCCGGTCATGTTCCCTTCTCATAAGGACTCACTGTGGACAACTGATGTGCATCCTGTCTTCTAGACACCTGATCACATCTAACCTGGAAACACACACACACACACACACACACACACACACACAGAGGTTTACTATATATAATTTTACAAGTTATCTGGAACCCTTTTTTATTAGTTTGTATTGTTGTTACCACTCGGGATTTTCCCTCTGAAGTTTGGAAAGATAGTATTGACATTGGTTCCATACTTTTAGGGCTCAGTGTTCTTTCCTCTGACTTCTGAACAGCTGTTCCTAGTATTTGAAAGCATGGCCACTTTCCTTAAGTTCAAGTATTTCCAAGTGTGTGCATACACACCCTTATACACTCCGCACTCTCATGTATCCCTCTCCCCCAACCCCCCCATATCCACATACACCCAGACCCCCCACAAACACACACACACACACACACACACACACACACACACACACACACAATCTTTGTATTTTATAAACAATAAGTGGATAAACAAAGAAAGGAGTCAGGTATAAAGTTATCAGGTCTTGTCCATGTAATGGTCAAATCTCTCCTGTTGACAGATTTCTGTTGGATGCTCCAGTATGCCCTTCCCTGTCCTTGTATGCTGTGGTGAGGAGTTTGGAAGAGACATTGATTATCTAAACAATTATGTCTGTATCACAAAAAAATCCCCAGAAACCCCAAGGTTAATAGATGCTAAGTGAAGATCATTTTGCATTCTGCACGGGCAAACACAGCCCCAGCATTTAATGACACCACCAGAGTCCATGTTTTTCACCTAGATGGGGTTCTAACACCCAGTACAACTAAGCCAGTATTGCATATTTCCCCAAACGTTGTTTGTATGTGACCTTAGCACCTAAGTATATTGAGTTATAAGTCAATTTTTAAAAATCGGGTGATATTAGCAAAATGTTTTCAAAATGGTTGTATATTATGAACCTTTAATAGTTGTTAAATGTAACTTATCTGTTTTATAAACAGCTTGAAATTCTACATTGAATTATGCCATTGCCTCAGAAGCCCTTAACCGTGTGTGTGAACATTTTTAGTTTCTGGGAAAGCTTTTGTGTAAGAAAAAGTACTGGGCCCTTGAGACACTGATCCCTGCCCCCCATCCCATATAGCAAAAAATGGACAAGAATACAGTCCAGTCATAGATCCTTTATATGTTCTTGATTAATTGCTTTGTTTGGGGCTAAAGTGCAGGAAAGTAAATACCAGAGCTGCCCCGTTTTAGCTGCAGATGTGTTCCTGTGAGTTCAGCCAACACCAAATGTTTGGTTTGGATGTTTTTAGACTTCTCTGTGCAAGGTTTTGAGGATTAATTTGAATGAGGACCAAGGCCATCCCACTTGTTTGTGTGGTGGCACGTGAACACTGGTCCCACTGGGATTAACTTAATGTTTTCTTTGCTTATTGCAGAAGTTAAAACACCAGACTCTGCCAAATTTGACAAAGTCCAATACTAATTATTATTATTTTCCCAGCACTTCCCACTCACATTTAGAATTAACTGCTGTTCTCCTTGGCATCAGCATTTGGGAAGTCCGCCTTGAATACTTAGTGTTCATTAAAGAGGATGGTCTCCTCTCTCCTCTCTTCTTGCACAATATCTCACTTGCTTTCCAGTCTTGCTGAGGTGCTATCTGTGGCAGCAACCACTATCAGAGCACCAGCATGGTGCTGATTGGTTAAAGATTCTTTGTGGTGTCCAGGTTCCTTCAGAGAGGTTTCAGAATCATAATCCTACCATACCATGTATGTCTAGTGATTCTGTCCAGAGTACTCAATGCTCTTTAGGAGAACCACCTCCAGTCTGCTTGCAGTGACAGGTTTTGCAAATTATTTCCACATCTCCAAAGGCCATTTGCAATAGAAAGAGGAGAGATACAAGATCTTGGAAAAAGTCAGCCCTAAGTTTTTTTATGCCCAGGAAACGTAACAGAGCCAGGGTCATGAAGACAGTCTGTGGTTCAGCCAGGCCACAGCTATTTGTTTGCATAACTCACCTCAAGTGACCTGCGTCGTTGGATATATAAAACGGGACCCATGACATGTACTTGAAAATAATTGCAATGATTTTTAGTGAAGGGTGTTGCTATGTTAATGCTACAGAGAGAAAAGCGTGGAGCAGGAATCTTTCCTGCTCCAGCCTCCTGCCCACTCTGTTAGCTTTCTTTCCATTGGACAGGAATATTCACCCAAGAGGGTAGCAGTTTCCACTCTATGAAACACATTCAGCTTTGAAGCAATTCTATAAGGCTTCCTCAGTATTCTAATCTCTAGCATTGTTAAGTTCAGTTTGCTTTATGTGTTAAATTTCCCAAGCTTTCAAGGCTGCTAAAGATTTGGGTGAAATACTATATGCATCTCAATAGAATGACACGGATGTCTTTAAGAGCGAAAGTTGCTCCCCAGGATTCTGGTCCTGATATGGCTAAGAAATGCTGAGATCTGGAGGGACTTTCTGTTAGTGAAAAGATAAAAGATTTTTTTTCTTTTTCTCAAGTCTCCCATCATTAAAGTTTGGTTCTAACAGCAGACTCCTTCTCTTTTTCATGTGTGTTGAAAAGCAGCTACTCCCTGTATCAAAGCCATCAGCCCGAGTGAAGGATGGACGACGGGAGGCGCGACTGTGATCATCATAGGGGACAATTTCTTTGATGGGTTACAGGTCATATTCGGTACCATGCTGGTCTGGAGTGAGGTAGGTGTTGTCTGAACATTAATATCTAATAGCTTGGTCTAGTTGAAGACACTGTCTATACTTGAATTTCTAATAAAATGTGTAGGATTTAGTGGTACCACTCTGGGTGGCCCTTCTCCAGTCCACAAGAACTTTAGAAACTAGGAAAGATGAACTGAGTTTCCCAGGAGGTAAATGCTTGCTATTGGTATCACTTCCATCTAACCCATGAGCGCAACCAGACCGTTCTGTTTGGTGGTTTGTCTTCTTAGAGTTGCCATAGGGTGAAGGTCCTTTTGTATAATTGGAAGTGGAAAGACGATACAAGGTTATAAAATATATAGGAAAAGCTATTCAAACCTTAGGAAGTCAATTATGTGTGGATACTCCATAGATAGAATGTACTGTGGTTTGAGCTTCAGAGACTCCTATTCATATGTCAGTCATAATGCAGGGAGCTCTTGACTTATTCAGTGACTCTCAACAAGAGTGAGTCGCTGGGGGACCCTGAAGAACCCAGGGTTTTTCCACAGTAGGAACATACAGCTTTCAGGTACCTTGTAGTGTGACTCTCACCATGTGACGATGACTGTTCTGTGTTTGAAGTGCTTTCAGCATGGTGATCTGACCTGGATGACATGTTTGGCAAATCATTAGCATTTATTTAAGATCTCAGAACAAGAGTATCATGATTTCAAGAGGCCACAAACAGACTCCTTTGTTATCTGAATTTGGAGCCTAGGTATCTTAGGCAGAACATTCAAAGTCCTCAGTTATCTCAGAGTGTAAAATAAAAGCAGATTTGGCACTACAGGAGACCACAGAGGTCACTCCATCCCACTTGCTTCCCACATAGTCCTACCTGTTCTGTTCTATGGAGTATTGGGATCTAAGCAGTGTACTCATCACTTGAGAGATTGTAACGCCCTTCTTTGTGTACGACAACCAACAACCTCTTGGGTGCAGCTTTTCTTGTTAAACATCTTCAGCCTTAGAGATAAATAGCCATTCAACTAAGAGTAGTGACCCAGAGGGCTCAGAAGGACCAATGTGTTTACAGCCACACAAAGAAGTGAGGGTCAGCCTTGGCGTGGGAACCAAGCATGGGAACTTATGATCCTACACGCATTGTGACTTCTGATCCTACTCATCTTAGCAGGTGCCACCATTTGGCTCTTCTAGATGCTCTATTTGTTTTCTTCTTGGAGGGACCACAGGAATGAGCTGAGAGTTGGCTGTAATAGTTGGGCATGTTTTCCTGACTAACAAACCAAAGTGGATCTTGTCCATTTTAAAGCTACCCATGAGCTCTTTGCACCAGCAGCCATCCGCTTGATGAGCAATCACCCTTGCCAGCATGCTGCGCAGTCTTGGTAGTTTAATGCTCTAGCCAGAACATTAAAGCTCTTATAAAGCTGAATCAGAACCAGGCTTCTCAGTCCATCCAACTAACTGTTATCTAAGCTAGAACATTGTGGGCAAGAAAAGTGTACTAAACCTGTCCCTGCCAACTATACTCCATTTTCCTCTGGAAGCATCAGGGGTCGCATGAGAAGGATCATCTCCATGGTCTATTTTGTTGCCTGCTGCTGTCCTCAACCTGATGTGAATAGTGGCCTATACGAGATCAGTCTTTCCTAGGTTTTGAGAGCTACACCTTCAACATGACTGTCACTCTTTTTATGGTTTATTAAAAAAGACAGGGATACAAAAGAATAAACTCAAGGTGGTCCCTTGTTGTGTGTCATGGAAATCAAATGAGGACTGGGTTAGGAATCAGAATGGGCAACAAGTGTCATGAACTTGACAAAAGACAGTTGATTCAAGGTATCCTGAAGAAATGTGTGCCTATTCCAACCCAAGGAGGCTCTGCCTTAGGTTAGCATCTAACATAGGCTAACCAAATTGCCTCAAAGAACTACATAGAACACATGAAAAGGAGCATCCACAGAAGCTGTACATCTACGCTTCTCCCTGGGTCCCCACTGTCGTGTCATGTGGGCACCTGAGCCCTGCTTCACATTGCTCAGGCAAGATGGCCTCCAGGAGGACAGCATCGGGACATCTGCTGATTCTTTGCTCTTCTCCTCCTCTGAAGTGTCCTATGGAGCTATGTCTTAAATTAGGAGTTCTGTCTTGGTAAAAACTCATACTGCAATTTCTAAGAGAATTTAGCAGATATCCTTGTAGAATGAGCAAGGTCACATAGCCAGATAGTGCAAGACATCAGATCTGATCCATACGGTGCAATCTTCAAGAAGCAGATGTCCTACTACCAAGAACAAATATAATCTGAGCAAGCGAACAATAAAAGAAAGTGGAAATTCAGGGAGAAAGGTCCAGAATAAGCCAAGTGATACCATAGCAGAGAGTCATAGTGATAGCCACAGTGGAGGTGATGATGGCAGATAATCATAAAATTTAAACAAACGATAATGAAGCAAACATGGAGTTATGTGGCCATCTTTTGTGTTTTGAGCAAAATAAATTATGAGTCAAGTTCAAATCCATTTTGTCAAGGCTTGGGTTGGATAGGATCAGTTCTCAATAGTGTAAGATCTGGTGTCTATGATAAAAGCTCTAGGAAAATACACTCTAAGTAGCTGGCATTCTTTGAGCCCCTACTTCCAGCCAGGCAGCATGCCAGGTGTTTGTGATGGCTGTCATTCAAGCTTGGGGACCGCTGTGCCAGTGCCATTCTCTTTCAGGGACAGGAGCTGGAGCTTAGGGAACAGCTAGTAAGTTGGTCTGCTGCTTAGTTTTCCCATGATAAAGAAGGTACTCATTGTGGAGGTCAACCTCGAAACAATTTCCGTTTTAACCTGGACCATGGTCCCCATCTGAAGATCTTATCTCCCAAGAGTTATGCACCCCCCACCACAAGCTGGGTCCCTATCAGTACTGTCACCTTTGCTAGTCTTATGGGAATGACATGTACACTCTCAGAGAGGTAAGAGAGAGACCCTTTGCTTTCTAGCTGTGGGTGTTTTGTTTGGAGTCATTAAGTTATACTGAGAATTTATCCTTTTGAGAAAAAAGACACATGCTATAGCCAAGGAGCAAGACAATTAACCTGCTTGGGCTTCTTCTTTAGAGCTGGGTCCCTGTTTATCCAGTGTCTTAATTCCTAACCATATGATTAGTGGGCATGCCATCTCTAAAATCCAGTACATATCATCTGAAGTAGATTTTATTTTTTAAAATCTTTTCTCCATTTCCCCGATTCCACAGCCCGGATGGAACACTGAGGCAGGTGAGCCAGGACAAGCAGATAGTGTTGTAGATTAGCAGTTGATGCTATTATGCTCAGTCTTTTTTTAGCTGAAGAATTAAAAAAAAAGAGAGAGAAAGAGGCAGAGAAAATAGGACCAGAGTAATTTACTCTCAACTGTGCTCTTCCCCTAACTGCATCATCTTTTGCAAATGAGTAGTTTAGCTTGGTTCCCTGCTGTTCCTTGAGGGTCGGGGAGAGAGAAAGGTGGCACTCCATGGGTGCCTCTTCTGTGTGCTCACCCTCACAGGATTCTCCTGACTAGATTTTCCATCCTTTTGTTCTTTTTTATTGTTTCTTGCCCTTTTTCCTATCCCCCCTTTTACTCAATTATTTTACTGATATTCTTAAGGTCTTCTTCCCTATTCTCAATTACTTAGAAAAGAAATTGCATTGTAGCTTTTTATGTATAATTGAGGAAAACCACCAGGGTTGATGAGAGCTAACGTTGAATGTGAGGTGAGTTTTTTTTTTTTTTTAAACTTGACCGGAAATGGGCTTGACGCTTTTGCATTACCACTCATGTGGCTGTGAAGCAGGGAGGGGCCTAGCTGTGCTACTGTTCTCTACAATTCATCATCGTTCCAGTATCTCTTCTGAATTCCTTCAATTTTGAAACAATGAGTAGCAGTTGGCTTGCCCTCCGGTTGTCTAACACTGGGAGAGGTACCACAGGCAATTAAAGTCAGGCTTTGTGGGATCTGGTGTTTTACTTGGAAAGACAACTTGCTCCCATGAAACAAATTAGAGAGTTGCATAACATTTATATAATCTAGTATTAAATTTGTGGCTTGTAACTCATGGCAAGGTTCTAGAAGACAGAGGGAACAGAGGCGTCAGAAGGAGATGGTTCAGGAAACCAATCAAGTCCCAGTTATGTTTGGATGGTTCTGTGGTAGATATTTTAGGCTGTCCTGATCCTTTTATTCAATCACAGAAATAACAAGGAGGATGCAATCTAAGGTACTCAATTGGCCTATTTTGTTTGTTTGTTTTGAGTGCAACCTTGGGGTTAGTGGGCAGGAGTGGGGGTGGAGGGTGGGGCATAGCAGACTATATTCCAAGCAATGGTATAGGTTTATAGGGGTTAGTAATGGGCAAAAAGAGTCAAAACTGGGCAGTAACTCTATTCTTATTACTCAGAAAATAGGGATTTATTTAGTGACTGCGCCTCAGTTTCCCCATTTGGAAATGAAGATTTATCACATTCAATAGGACAAAAAAATGTAAAATACTTGAATAAGCTTGTATTGTAGCATTAATATTATTGAGAGTGTCTGCTTCCCAGGCTGAAGTGATTCATTACTCTGTTCTTGCTCTGGTCCTTTGTAATTGGTGGTTATTATTATTATTATTATTATTATACATTTCTTTTTAATAAAAATGTATAAAATAAAAACTTGAAAAGGCAGAGGCAAAAAACAAAAACAAAACAAACAAACAAAAAAACCAGTTTTAGCAAGATTCCTTTTCTCTAGAGTATTCTCCTCAGAACTCGCCCACTAGAACCAGAAGTGGACAGAGATGTGGGCAGGAGGGACCTTTTTCCTTTTTCTTTCCTTTGGACCACACCTGGAAGTACACAGACACCATGCCCATTTGCAAAAGGATTCTTTTTTTTTTTTTTTAAACTTTATTTATTTATTATAAGTACACTGTAGCTGTCTTCAGACACCCCACAAGAGGGCATCAAATCTCATTGCAGATGGTTGTGAGCCACCATGTGGTTGCTGGGATTTGAACTCATGAC